AAAAAAAAAAAAGAAAACAAAAACAAAGGCACATTTCCTAGAAACTGAACTTTACATTAACTAACAAAAATAACCAGTTTAGATACAACAGTAGGTAAGCTTGATAATAGAGCAAGTTTGACATCAAAAGTCTTGAGGTTTCTTGAACAGCATGCTTGAATTTCATTGGTTCTTCACGAAAAGACACTACACACAATGATGATGGTGATGATGATAACCAAAACACTAATCCTTATGGCCCACATCTTGCGATTCTTCCACCAGTATTTTCTCTTTAACTTGGCAGCACTTGTTTCAAACTGAGAGGCGCCTGCCTGCAGTGCATCTGCACGGTCGTCTAACTCAAGAGTTTTTGGTCTCTTTCCAACATGTTTTCCATGTTAACTCTCATTATGTCCACCACCTCATCTACTTGATTTTGTGTCTGCTGAAGTCTTCAATTACTGCCCCAGCAGCACATGAACCTGCAGGTGCACCTGTAGACATTTTGGCAGCCATGGTGGACAAGGGTCCACAGAGCTGCACTGCTGGGACTGGAGGGCGGGGCAGCAGAACCTGTACCATTTTTTTTTTTTTTTTATGGCTTGTGAGAATTAAGTTTTGGCTGGTTATGGTGGCTCATGCCTGTAATCCCAGCACTCTGGGAGGCCAAGGCAGGTGGATTGCCTGAGCTCACAGGTTCGAGACCAGCCTAAACTAGAGTGAGACCTGCCCCCACCTATAAAAATAGCCAGGTGTTGGGTGGTGCCTGTGGCTCAGTGGGTAGGGCACCGGTCCCATATACTGAGGGTGACGGGTTCAAACACAGCCCCAGCCAAACTGTAACAAAAAATAGTCGGGTGTTATGGTAGGCGCCTATATCAGGCAATCCAACTTGGGACTGGAAGAGAGAATGTCGCTAAGTGGGCTGGGAATTAAAATCCTCTCCCACATATCCTACCTCCCACCCTTTGTGCTCTCTGTGGCTCTCTAGGCGCCCCAGCGGGATTCCGGAGATGGACCTGCACAGCACCATCGCACCCTACTTCTTGCAGCAACGGGATACCCTGCAGCGGTGTGTGCAGAAGCAGGAGGCTGAGAACCGGCAGCTTGCAGATGCCATCCTGGCTGGGCGCAAGCAAGTAGAGGAGCTGCAGCTCCAGATCCAGGCCCGGCAGGAGGCCTGGCAGGTAAATGTACCAGTTCTACCTACCTGCTTTATCTTCTTTCCTTAATAGGCCTTCTGAGACCCCCAAATTAGTAGCTTCCTCCATTCCAACATAAGGATCCCTGTAAGGAGTTAGAGACCTCTCTTTGGATGTGTACAGTAGTCTCTTTGCTGATTTGAGCAGACAGGCTTCCCTACATCCTGTTCTCACCTTGGGCATGCCTGCTCTTGCTGAAATCCAGCCACAGGCTTGCATTCCCTTGAGGCAGCAGGTGACGACATAGGCCTAGAGAGGGCAGTGACTTGCCCAAGGTAACAGCTTCTCCACACCAGAGTTGGAGATAGACCCTCTGCATCCAGTAGCCATTCTACTATTTCATGTAACTGTTGCCTAATGTACTATTTAAAATGTGTACATTAGAATGACTTCTAGAGCTTTTGCCACATCTAAAACATATCCTCCGTGCAATAAATGTATGTCTCTAACACACATTTATTGCACGGAGGATATGTTTTAAGTGTGAGCTTAATCCTGTTTTTTTTTTTGCAGTTTTTGGCCAGGGCTGGGTTTGAACCTGCCACCTCCAGTATATGGGGCCAGTGCCTTAATCCTTGAGCCACAGGCACAGTGGCTCACACCTGTTATCCCAGCACTCTGGAAGGCAAAGGAGGACAGATTGCTTGGGCTCTGGAGTTTGAGGCCAGCCTAAGAAAGAGTGAGACCCCATCTCTACTAAAAATAGAAAAACTGAGGCAAGAGGATCACTTAAGCCCAAGAGTTTGAGGTTGCTATGAGCTATAATGACGCCATGACACTCTACCCAGGGCCAAAGAGTAAGACTCTGTCTCAAGTGTCTTTTTTTTCTTGTAATAAAACAATTATTTTAATGAAGTATTTGAAATAATTTTAAACATCTAATCAATATTATTATATGCAAATATGAGAGTATGCTGCACTTAACAAAAAAATAAATCTAAGCATTTAAATATACAAAAACAGGGCAGTGCCTGTGGTTCAGTGAGGAAGTCACCAGCTCCATATACCAAGGGTGGCAGGTTCAAACCCGGCCCTGGCCAAACTGCAACAAAAAAAAATAGCCAGCCAGGCGTTGTGGTGGGCACCTGTTGTCCCAGCTACTAAGGGGGCTGAGGCAAGAGACTTCTCTAAACCCAAGAGCTAGAGGTTGCTGTGAGCTGTGACACTGTACTGTGTCACAGCTCACAGAGTGCTGTGGCACTCTACTGAGGGCAACAAAGTGAGACTCTGTCTCTAAAAATATATATATACAAAAACAACTTTGGATATAGATCTCTTCTTAAAGTACTCTCAACATAGACATAATTTATAGCATTTTACATAGTAACTTGCTGAAAACAAAATATGTGGCCCATTTAAAATTTACTATAGTATGTAACATGGCCTTAACAGTCCCAATGAGGAGTACAGGATGAAGAGTAACATACTTGAGGTGGTTTTCTTCTTCCTCTGAATGCTTTTTCTAAAAAACATAGCATTTCCCACTTTTTTTAAAAATTTGCTACATAAATTTTTATTTTATATATTTTTTCCTCACATTTCCCACTTTTTAAAACCTTTTTGAAGGGTTTAATTATTCTTTCTGCATGTTATTTTAATTTATTTTTTACCAAGTTTATTCCACACAGATGGAAATTTTTTTAAAAGAGGGTTTGCTTTGCCTATCAGCCTCATCCACAGATGAATATATATAACATGCTTCTCATATTTAAAGCCAAGATCCCTGAGGGTGAGATACTGATGTGACCTCTTAAGTACAGAATCCAAAATGGAGTCCTGTCATTAAAATTTTAATCATTGACTAGGATTTTTAAATGCACCAAGATGCTTAAAACTTAGGGTAACTAAAAGATACGAGAAGAACTACAAAAACCATCCTTCTTAGGATTTAAAACAAAAATAAAGAATAGGTTCAGCGCCTGTGGCTCAACCGGCTAAGG